TCGAACCCTCTTCCAAGAGGCTTTTCCAAGTCAATTCCATTAGGGCTTTTCACATTCTCCAGAGAATCCCTTTTAAAATCCTACAAGAAAGAGCTGGGAGCAGTTTGCTTTTAAGGCTTCTGCATTAATAGGGACTATTAGTGTTGTTTAGTTTATGGATATACTGGTTAGAGCTTTAAGTGATAGGTCACAATTCAATGTGTAGCAGTGGGAGAGAATTGTTGTTTGACTTCCGTAGCTTTTATATTTTTCCTGACTCTGCTGAATCCATTTAGAGCACAGAGAACAGATTTCCCCCCCCTCTTTAAACAAACTATTGAAAGGTTTTGTGACGCTTTGGTTTTTTAATTTTCTCACGTTAAGCCACCTGTGAAATAATTGCACTCAGACCACAGTGGATTTCTGCTCTTGAAATGCCACCAGTTTTAGCTGTATATATTGGTCTGGAGAAATATGCTTTCCAGTTTGAGCAGTATCTGTAGTTGGTATGAATTATAGATCCTAATACTAAGGCCTTGTCTGCATTACAAAATGAAGTCAATCTAAGTCAACATACAGCCACTGCAGCAATTACCGCGGTGGTTCATGTCCACGCTACACCTCCTCTGTTGGTGATGCGTGTCCTCACCAGGAGCACTTCCACCAACTTAACTGTGTGGGGCATTGACAGCCAGAAGCCCCCTCGCAACCGCCAGGGGCTGACAGCTTGGGCTATAAGCCCTGTGGTGGCTGGGTTCTAGCTGTGAGTCCCGAGGTGGGGTAGACAGCCAACAGGCGATGTAAGTAACACAGTGGCAACACCAGGGGTGGGCAAACTACGGCCCGCGGGCCACATCTGGCTCACCAGCTGATTTAATCTGGCCCTCGAGCTCCCACTGGGGAGCGGGGTCGGGGACAGCTCCGTGCGTGCGTGCAGCGGCTCTGCGCGGCTCCTGGAAGCAGCAGCATGTCCTCCCTCCGGCACCTATGCGTAGGAACAGCCAGGGGGCTTGGCATGCTGCCTCTGCCCCCACAGCTCCCATTGGCTGGGAACTGTGGTCAATGGGAGCTGCAGGGTCGGCGCCTGTGGAGGGGCAGCGTGCAGAGCCTCCTGGCCTTGCCTCCGTGTAGGAGCCGGAGGGGGGACATGCCGCTGCTTCCGGGAGCTGCTTGTGGTAAGCGCCGCCTGGAGCCTGCATCCCATAGCCCCTCCCGTACCCCAACCCACTGCTCCAGCCCTGATCCCCCTCCTGCCATCCGAACCCATCGGTCCCAACCTTGAGCACCCTCCTATACCCCAAGCCCCTCATCCCCAGCCCCATCCCAGAGCCCACACCCCCAGCCAGAGCCCTCACCCCCTCCTGCACCCCAACCCCAATTTTGTGAGCATTCATGGCCCGCCATACAATTTCCATACCCAGATGTGGCCCTCGGGCCAAAAAGTTTGTCCACCCATAGTCTACACAGACACTGTGTTGCCTTAACTACGTTGACCTAAGCGGTACGCCTCTCATGGAGGTGAAGTTATTAGTAAGGCTTGGATTTTATCACGGAGGCTGCGGAAGTCACGGAAACCATGACTTCCGAAGACCTCAGTGAATTTAGCCCACAGGTGGCTCGGAGCTGCAGGGTCCCAGGGCAGCCAGGAGCTGCAGGGTCCCCCTGCCACCCAAGGCAGTGGGGCCTCCAAGCTCCGAGGTGGTGGGGGTACCCCACAGCTCCTGGCTGCCACAGGCCGTGGGGGACCCCCGCAGCTCCCAGCTGCTGCATGCGGCGGGGGGAGGGCTCCTAGTAGCTGACAGTGAGGGGGGGACCCTGCAACTCCTGGCTGGCCCCTGCAGCTTCCAGCCTCTGGTGGTGGGGGACCCCACAGCTCAGAGCTATGGGGGATCCTGGAGCTCTGAGCCCCTATGGGTGGTGGGGGCCCCCAGAACTCCCAGCCAGGCTCCTGCAGATGCCTAGCAGCTCCCCATTTTGTGATGGATATTTTTCGTAAAAGTTGGACAGGTCACGGGCTTCCGTGCATTTTTCTTTATTGCCCATGACTTTTACTAAAAATATCCGTGAAAAATATCTTAGCCTTAGTTATTAGGTCAGTGTAGTGAGCAACTTACATCGGCGGGAGCAACATTGTAGTATAGACACCGACAGATCGACGTAAGGCAGCTTATGTCAACCTAACTCAGAAGTAGAAAAGGATGCTTAACTCTGGAGTGGGCTGAAGATTTTATCTACTTACAAATCACTGTGGAATGGTCAGCAAGTCAGTTGCCTTTAACCCAGTAATTGTGCACATAGATAGCTTCAACAGATGAGGTACCTCCTCGTAAATTATTCCATTGCAACCATTGGTCTCTTCCAATTTTGGGCCTAATACTGCCATCCTTCTTCCCATGAGTAGTCCCACTGAGTAAAATTTTCAAAAGTGATTAAGTCCTATTGCTTTGCAATGGAACTTAGAAGCCTAAGTAACTGAAGCCTATTGGATAATTTTACCTATTGACTATTGGCTACAGGATCCGGCCTCATATTTATAACTTATCCTAAAGATGCCCTTTATAGTTTGGTTGCCTGGTTAACAATGGTTCACTTTCTTATCGACTTTGCAGCAGAGGTGAAATGACATGAAAAAAGCTTGGAGGGGTCTAGAGTGAGAATGCAGTAGACTTGTGCCCCCTCACTGCAGCTGGGGAAATTGTGAGGGAACGTATCCCCTGCAGCGACTGCATCTATGCTTTGCAGCCCTGTAGCTGAGAATTGGAACGGTTTGTGGTCTATGGCAACCCACAGAGGTGTTGCTTTGTTGCAATGAAACACTCTGGTAAAACTGTACAAAGGTTAGTTTTCCAACTTTCCTATCTTAGATGTTAGGTAAATATTACATCAGCTAGAATGTAAAGCATGTGTCATTTATGCTAGACTAGACAAATCTGGAGAGTACAGTAACTCCTCACTTAACGTTGTAGTTATGTTCCTGAAAAATGCAACTTTAAGTGAAACGATGTTAAACTAATCCAATTTTCCCATAAGATTTAATGTAAATGCGGGTGGTTAGGTTCCAAGGAAATTTTTTGGGGGCAGACAAAAGGCATTATATACTGTACAGTACTGTACTGTGGTGGGGAGGTGCCCCTGGCTTACCCCTGGGGCTCAGGGCTGGGGGTGCAGCGTCTGGGAGGGAGTTAGGGTGCGGGAGGACGCTCAGGGTGGGGGTGCGGGAGGAGGCTCAGGGCTGGGGCAGGCAGGAGGTGCAGAGCACTTACCTGGGGCAGCTCCTGTTTGGTAAAGAGGGTGTGCAGGTGGCTCTGTGCAGCGCGACACCGCCCCCATGGCCGTGATTCTGGGAGCTGCCCACCCCACCCCCTGGCAGGCAGGGCCACCTGGAACGCAGGGGCTTTAGGGACTGCAGGGCCCTGGGCTAAGGGGGCCCCGGGGCCCTGGCCTTCAGCTCTAAAGCCCCTTTCAGAATGCAGCCCTGCAAGCATGGGCCGGAGGACTCAGGAGGAACAGGGGCAGCCGCGCAGCCAGTGGCCGGAGAGAAGCAGCGCTTTCCCCTTCAAAGTGCTGCTTCTCTCCAGCCGGCTGGCCCTGCCTGCCCAGGGGGCGGGCAGCTTCCCCGCTTGCTCGCTCCCTCCCTACCTCCCTCCCAGAAAGTCCTAAGCGCCACCAAACAGCTGTGGGAAGTGCTGGGAGGGAGGGAAGAAGGAAAGGGGAGGAGGCAGAGAAGAGGAACTTGTGCAATGCTTCCTTGTAAAGTCAGCCAAATGACGTTATAAGGGCGCATTGCACAACTTTAAACGAGTATGTTCCCTAATGGAGCAGCGACGTAACTTCGAAACAACGTTAAGCGGGAGGATGTTAAATGAGGAGTTACTGTATACTGAAGGGAGCAATTTTGTATTAGTGTGATGAGGGAGGAAGATGATTTAATGGGTCCTCTCTCAATTCTATTCTCTGCAATAGACGGTAAAATCCACAATTTTTCTCTGCCATTTTCTTCCCCTAGCCTTCTTTTCCACAGTAGATCATATTGTCAATGCCTATGCTTGACGTTCAGGTTTCTTCAGACTGCACCAAATGTTGACATTGATCCAGCATGGACTGTAGAGCACAGGTATCTAGGAGACTGCCAGTGCTCGTTTGGAAATATGCTGTGGTTTGATTGGAAGGCCATTTGCATCAGCGAGGGTTTGTATGGGGGAGGGGGTTAAAAATTGAAATGATATATGTGAAATTGGAAGTTGTCTTGCTAGTATGTACATACATGTTTGGCATGACAATGTTCTGTTACTTCGGCTGAACTATTTAATCATTTTATATGGAAGATGGGAATCCAATACAGTAGTTCACTGTACAGTTACTGACTTGCTGCATCCTGATTTCTTTACAGATCTGTTGCATATGCTGACCAACTAGACACCCATTTATCTGTTTTTATTACATATGTGTACTTTAATAAGTAAAGTTTTTTTCTGATTTTTCTTTGACCTACAGACTGCCTTCAGATATACATGTGGAGCTCTCCATGACTTCTGTGTACGTATCTGAGGGAAGAATTTGGCATTTCATTTTTATCAGAATAAATGCTCAGCCATTTAGCAATCCAGCTGGCATGCAGTTTGGTATAATGTAAGACCTGTGCTGTAGCAGGACTGCTTAATAATTTTAAAGTATCCCCATTAAAAACTTGATTTTAGTACAGGCATGTGCACATACTAAACAAATATACAGTGTCTGCTCCTGCAGTCCTTCATGTAGACAAAACTTTCACTTACTTAAATACAACTGTTTGCCCAGGCAAAGACTGTAGAATTGGCAGATATGCTCTATGTGTGTGAGTACCACACACACACTTTGTACTTTCAGCTTTTCATTCTCAGTCTAATTTTAGCCCTGGGATAAAGCTGGAAGTTGAAGTTGTGAGCGCAGCTTTTTCTATTAGCGCTTTCCCAAAATATTCCTTTGGCTGCATACACATTTGCTTATTATCGCCTTTTCTCTTTTCCCTTTATACCTTACAGCTTCTGACATGAAGAAAGATATAGAGACCTTAATAGCAGAGGAAAGAGCAGAGATCATCGCCAAGTATGAAAAGGTACCGACCTCATTTTTCCTCCATTAATCTGCTCACCAGGCATGGGACTCCTGGTAGCTAAGCTGTCTGGGGAAAGCAGGAACGTGTCATACAGGGTGTGATGTCTTCATTCAGACCTCATGCCAGTAACAAACTACACAAACACAATCTTTTTTTCTGCCTGCAGAACTTTTTAAGGGTACAGGTGACGTGACAGTGTGTATTTAGTCATCCGTGATGGGTTTTCGGCAGATAGGCTCAGGCAGGGGCCTATGTCAGGTATACAAATACAGGTTCTGCCTATTCTACCTGAACAAGGTCAAAATATTTGGCCTATGGTAAGTACTCAGGCTATGGAACCAAATTGGAGAGCTTTCATCACCAGTCCATTTTTCCCTTTCACTCTGGGCTCCCAGTTTTTTCTCATTCAGACCTCATCATTTGGCACACGCCACAAATCCTGTGACCAAGAAAGTGACAGTCTCAGCACAGAGAGTGAATGGTCTTGAAGACTGAATTAAAACTAATATATTCCTCTCGCCTTCTGTATCACCTTACAGACAGGAATGGAATAAGCCACATACCACCCCAAAGATGGTCTTCCTAGTTCAGGGTTGACACATAGCAGCAGGACAGTATGGAGGGAAGTCTGCATGGGTGAGGCCTGTGCCTCATCAAATCTGTAGACTGAGTGGATTTTAATCACCAGGTTGCTCAGTCCAGTACCAGCTTCTGAGTGCTCAGGACAAACATGTGCACATGCTGATGGCCACACACTTGTGTTTCCTCCAGTCATGACTCTTGTGTCTCCTTTTGCTTTGTAGGGAAGGCAGGAAGGAGCTCATATTGACCCATGGGAAGATGCTGACTTCACCCTGTATAAAGTCACAGACAGATTTGGATTTCTGCAGTAAGTTACTCGTTTCTCCTCCCAGACACCCTTCAATGAAATAGATGTGGTGCTGTCATACACTCCGTGCAGGAGGATGTCCTGTAACAGCTCCAGCAACCTCAGTGCAGGCTGCTGTATGAATTTATTTGATCAAACCCAAATATCTAGAAAGGAATGGCAGTGTATCTTCTTCGGCATCCAAGCGTGTGGAAACCTTCTGATGTCAAAATGTCTTATTTAGACATTTTTGATCAATTTTCAACATTCCCAGCTTGAAACATTTTGGCTTATTGAACCAAGTCGAAACATTCAGGTTATTTCAATGTAGTACTGCATTTGTCTAAGGTGGCGCAGTGCATCATGGGAACTGTAGTTCAGGAGCCTCATGTCCCAGTTCTCTATGGGCTGGGATCCCCAGTTGCACTGAATCTCCCAGGATGTGGTCATGGGACGCCCATGATGCACTGCAGCAGTTCCACCAGAGGAGAGAGCAGTGGATCATGAGAGACGTAATCCAGCTAGGGAGCCCCCCCCCTCGTAGAAGAGAATGGGAGCATGAGGCACCTGAACTACAACTCCCATGAGGCACCATGACAGCTCAGGCAGATGTAGTGCAATGACAAACTGACTTGAAATGAAAAGTTTCAATTTGGTTTGACAACCAAAAGCTTTGAATTGTCGACCTGACCTGAAACTAAATACTTTGTTTCTATTTTCCCAACAGAAAATCAAAATATTTACAAAATCAAAAGTTTCCTGGGGAAACTGTATTTTTCTGTTGAAAAACCATTGACAGAAAATTGCTGGTCAGCTCTACTAAGCAGTCTCTTTAAAACAGCTCTAAGGTTTGCGTGATTGATTGTCCTCTGATAGACCATCTCTATAAGGCAACTAATTTTCCCTTGGTCCCTCAGGTGTAGTCAATTTAAGACTGCTTGTTTGCATTGTACTGTATATTGTGATCCATACCCCTGTTGCTTGTCGATACAATCCAATCCTTAATCTTTCAGTGAGCATGAACTGCCATCCCGCAGTGCAGTGGAAGAGAAGGTAAGAGCTGTCAGCTTTACTACCTATGTGGATCACACCTTGCAAAATATGGTGCTAACTGGGAAGGTGCTTAGGTCTGCCTTTTAAACAGCAAATACAGACTTTGCAGCATGGCCCACTAATCAGATTTTCTCCAAAAATATAAAAACCAGCATCTCTTAAGCTGATGCTCTGAAGTTAATGGAGCGGCACCTTAGCACAAAGTTACAGGAAGTGCTCAGTGAGGAGTAGTTTCATAATGCTGTGGTACAGGTGTGAGCTCGGTAGGAGAGCCTAGATGGCACCTGAGAAGGCAGTGGAACTCTCAATACTGCAGCTGAGCTTGGAGTAGGGAGGGGGAAAGCTGTGGAATTTCTTTAGTCCTGTGCAGCAGTTCTGACATGGAGAGGAGTGGAAGATAGGAAAATGCCATGAAGTTGCAGGATAGATCTTCACAAGAAGCAGTGTGAGAGCATAAAACAGAAGTGATCTATTCACAACAGGCCTGATCAGACCTTCCAGTTAATGGTTGCACTTTTTTTCTTTCAAATCTTGTTTCCTTTCCCTTTCAGTTTCATTATTATTAGAGCTTTTTATTTCATTGGTCCAGACTTTGGATAATTTATTGGTCTTGCTCCAGTGAAATCATAAAACTTTATTTAAGACTTATAGGCAGGAAAGAGGTTGATAGTCAGCCCCTGCTGAGAGAGTGGTCTCATCTATTGTACCACTTGCTCTCTATAAGCATGGTGGCAGAGATCAACAGGCTGCAGCTTAAAGTCAGATGGGCATCCAGATGCATTAGTGACTCTGAAAATCTCAGCCTAAATGCTTGATCCTCACTGGATGAAAAATGGAAAAGTCTTTGGGTATCCTGCTCCCCGTTCATGTCTCCTTAAAGTTTTTCTGTGTTTCTGTTCCTCCTGTGATGAGTGCTAAACCACCTAGCTAACTGTTAGTTGCATATCTGCAGGCATGGCTAGTTACTCTGTGTAGATGAAATGAGTGCTGCAGTGGGGGAGGTCAGGATCAACTTCCACAAGGAAGTATTGGGAACCCACGTTTAGAAACATTAATGAAGCTTAGGAGGGCTCGACTGAGATGCAGTATTTCTAAACATCTGATTCAGCTGAGACTAGATGCTAGATCCCATTCCATCACTTTAGGAGGGGCTAGATTGCTCCAGCTCACTGCAGGAGACCTATGCAGTTAGAGGATATTTCTCTACAAGTTCAAAAGCCCCAATTAAAAAAAAATAGATGAATACACTTTTTATTTTGAGATCACAAAGCTTAAAGGTTCTAAGTGGCGTCCTCTTATCAACTACACTGCCACTGGAAATAAACTAAAGTTCACCTCAAAACAAAAATCCCTATAACATGCTTGGATTGCGAATGATAAGGGGTGACTGAGCTCAGCTGGTAAAGTTGCAGCCGTTTGACCTCAAGGGAGCTGATTTGACTCTGGGTTGTGGTAACATGAATGTCTAGTTTTGAGATCAGGACTCTGACTGGGCTTAATTCCCCTGTAGTATACTTCCAGATAGACACAACACAGGGTAATTTGTGGCTGGATGAACTCCTAAGTATCTGCTACCTATCAAGGAAATTCTCCTGTGAAAGAATTGTCTGTGTATCGTGCTGATTTTTTTTCACTACTGTGTGTAGAAATTGTCTATCCCTGTAAGTACTTTCCCCTCAGTTATGTCCTCTGTCGCAGATACAAAAGGGTAGGGTGGGGGGTGAATGTGAAATGTCATTATCATCCTCATTCAGTTTAACTTTATGATGAGTTTTGTGCTTTCACAAGGAACATTTCTGTAATGTTTGTTTTGAAATGACACTTTTAGCAAAAGCTGCAGGAGATTGAACGAGTGGACAAATGGCTGAAGATGCTGAAGAAATGGGGCAAATACAGAAATAGTGACAAGGTGAGGAGATAAAAACAGACACTTGTAGTACTATAGGGAGAGAGATGGTGATATCGTTCCCTTTGTGCTTGTCATTTTTTACAAAGGTTTATAAAGAAACCGGAAACCCTTGAAAAATGCCTTATTTATTCTGCCTTTTAAAGTTTAATAGTGTGTTGGCTGAATAGAAGTGCTTACTGTTGTGACATACAGGGCCAAACTTTAAGAGGGCCTCCTAAACTCTGCCTGCAAATTTGGCACTTGTGCCCATTTGTGCAAGCAAAAAAACAACAACCATGCTTGTGAGCCTGACTGGGCACTGCATGCATATGTGCAGCTTCCTGTCCATGCACAACTTAGGAGGCCCCTTGAAAATGTGGGTAAGAGCCTAGATTTCTAGGCCAGTTTCCTTGACAGATAAATATGGGGGATATTTTTATTTGCCTAGGATTTACCTGTATACTATGTATCCTGATGCTGGTTTGATTGTCTGAACCCATTTGGCTGCTAACTGAGGCTATTGTGTGAACATCACCAATATGCCAAAATACAGGACTTAAAATAAACTCTATGCAGAACAGCAATGAAAAACCGAGTTATTTTAAGAGGTCATCTAAAAATCACAGCGTGAATCCAAACACATTTACTTAGCTTCTAGACTGTAGATGGAATAGGAGGGAAGCATGAAACCAAAACTGCACTGGTGAGAGTACTCTGAGAGGATGTGGGCATACCTTGGGTAAGAATTCAAAAACCCAAGGTCCTTTGTGCTCTGTGGGGATCTTAAATATCCCATAACTTTTCTCATACAAGTAGGAATTTTTCCAGATGTCTTTGCAAAAATACCCTCTGCTGCTCCTTTTCACTCCCCCTACTGTTGTACTGCTCTCTAATTCAAAAATGGTTGCATTTCATTAGTGGTGTGTGTATGTGGTGTGTAAAGCACTTCTGGATTCTTTGTGTCATTAGTATATTTACTAAAAGAAATGCATGTATTCTAACTGAATTCTCAGATGAAAAAAGGAAAAACCTGTCACCACATCACTATCTCCGTCTGTGTGAATGGTGGTGGGTGTTCTCACTGGCAGCTGTCATTTTGCAGCTGCTTCCTAGCAGGAAGTCCAGACTGTTGACATGTCTGTTCTGTTCTTCCTGCTTGTGTGTAATTCTAGTTGGTATCAACATAACATTACTTAACACAGGGCAGAGAGTCTACATTTTGGGGACAAGACTGGGAGCCAGGACTCCTGGGTTCTATAGTTTAGCTATGCTTCTTAATTTATTGAGAATTTGGATGAGTCATTTAACCCCTCTGTGCTTCCATTTCCCAATCTGTCAGTATTTGTACACCTGTAGACTTGGTCCTGCCTCAGCACAGGAGGCTGGACTAGATGACCTCTTGAGGTCCCTTCCCACCCTACATTTCTATGATTCTGTGATCGCCTGGAAAGCTTCATTGATGTTTCTAATGTGCTTTGAGATCTTCAGATGAAAAGTGTTTAGAAATAGACAAAGCATATTGCTTTGTCTATTTTAAAAAAAAAAAAGTAAAATATAACAGCACTTACGTTTTAATTCTCCAGCATTTCCCAGGCAGTAGTAGGATGAGATGGCACAATGCCAGTGAAGAGGTGGGCAGGCATGTAGTCCACAGATCTCAACTTTAATTAGCAGAGGTCAGGCAACACCCTTGTTTATGACCTAACAGGGAATGCCAAGATAAAGTATTTTTATAGTTACTTTGTGAATATAGTTGATTCCCAGCACCAGTCTCGCTTCCTACTTGTCTAGACTTGGTAGTATAAAAATGATATATTTTTCTATTTCTGCAGTGGAAGATACAAAAAATTACACAACCGTTCACTCTTGAGTGACCTCATTCAATAGAAACGTGCAGAATGTATATTTTTATAGTCTTCGTAGAGACTCCTAGTAGGGACTTGAATCCAGTTGCAGGATCTAAATAGATGGGGAACTGTGGGACAATGATGACCTTGACATTACCAAGCATCAGAACAGAGTCACGTGATCCCACATTCAACATGATTTTAAGAGGAGCTGTAGTTCTAGAGCAATCAGTTGTGAAGATACATAAACATTCTCAATTTTATTGAAGAAACAAAACAGATTTTTCAAACTTTACATTGATGCCAATCTGGGTATGAAAGGGGCAGGGACATACTTTGTTTGAATTTTATAGCTCTTCTGTGTTCAATTCAATGTTCTTTCAGTCATTCTCTATCACTCGGTAACCTCAGTAGGGAAAAATATGGGAGCCCTCCAGTGGCCATAATAATCCCTCTAACTTAAAAAATCAGTCCTAAGTGGTTGGTAGCTTATTGGATAAAGTGTCCTCTATTCTAGAAGGATTGAACCAGGTCCTTCAGCTCTTAGTTCTTCTTAATGCAAACCTTACTGACCTAAATGGAAGTTTTGCCTGTGTAAAGACTGCAATGTTTGGTTTAGAGCAGCGGTTTTCAACCAGGGGTCCGTGAGCTGATTTCAGGGGATCCACAAAGCAGGGCCAGCATTAGATTGACTTGGGCCTAGGGCAGAAACCTGAAGCCCCCAGCCTTGGCACCCTGCGGGGCCCTGGAGTTTTTATAGCCTGTTGATGGGGCCTCAGAAAGGAAAGGTTGAGTACCCCTGGATTGGAGTTCACATCTGTACTTGTAAATTGAAATTAATTAACCCATCAATTAATTAACCTATCAATACAGTTTTAAATTAATTCTTATCGTGAATCTAAAGTTGAAGGGGGAAAGAGCTGATGCAATATACTTCTGCCTACATTTACAAAAGTGACTAGTGATTTTGATGCCCAATTTGAGACACCTTAATGGGGCCTGATTTTCAAATGCCGAGCACCTTTGTATAATCCGGGCTCTTTCTGCAGTTAAAGGTGGGCACCCACAATTATAAGTGTGATAATATAGGCCTTTACATGTAAATAAAAATCCAAATGAGAAAAAATGCTATATTTTAAAATAACAGCCTGGCTAGAAAAAGGTTAGCAACTTAAATGGTCAAGTTAAAGGAAACCTGGGGCATAATACAAGGGGGTCACTTGGTTAAATTAAATTAAACAACAGTAATGAGGCCATATAAAAACCTAAATAGGATCCAGCGTCAATCTGTCAGTCACACTGGATTGTGTGGGTAGACCCTTCACATCTGTGCCAGCAAGTCTGAATCTGACTTGAATGTCTGTTCTTCATGGAGACGCAGTAGCCAGCTGCTCCACTGTACCATTAGCTCATGCTGTATTTTGTCCTAAGTAATTATTACTGCATCTCTATCATAAGCAAAGATGGTATTGTATCTTTTTGTACCTCACAACTGGATGGGGCCCAAATGTTTCAACAGGGCAAAATGATAATAGAGCAGGAAACTTAACATGGTTCCTGATTAGTTTCTTAACACAAATGTTTCTGTGACCTCAGTTTAATGACTTCTGATGTCAACAATTTACAATAACTTCTTGGGTTAACAGCAGGTCTGTATGATTAGAGCAAATGTGGGTCCAAACTGGCCCTCTCCTAATGAGAGATTGAGCTCTCATTCCTTTATTTCAGTGACTGAAAAGCATAGAGCTCTTGTAATCAGAATGAATGGAATTATTATTTATAACGAACCACAAAGGTTCATGATTCTTCCAGACAGATAAGACATTATCCCAGTGCCAAAGAGCTGACATTTTGCTCCCATTGACTTGAGAAGGAGCAACATTAAGTGCTAAACAGTGAGGGGGTGGGGAAAGGATAAGCCAGATGACATACAGAAACATAAAGAATCTTTGACTTCACTCCCATTCCACCCTAGCAATTCCAATAGAAGCTTCCATTGGCAGAGATTTGGAAAGATTCCTTATGCTATACATGGGGAAACGTGTGCAGCTGGTATTGCCAGTTCATATGCATGTCGAAACAGTGATACTGTCATGCAGTATGATATTAAATATAAAATTGCAGGGAATACAACCCAAAGCTCAGCTCTGCTTTCTGAAGCAGTGTGGGTCTTTGAACTGGATGTTCCTTCATCCACGGTAATTTCTGTTCACTGATAGTACAACATTTGCATTGCTTTTTAGATTAAATTGCTGAGATCGCCTGGCCCAGAGGGCTGAATGGTCTCATGCATTTATATTGTGAGTTTAGAAGTTGCACAAATTCCCTCTGCTGGACTCGGTGGATGTCGGTGGATATCTGAGAGCAGTTCAGTTGCTGGCCTTAGAGAACCATGAAACTGAATAATACTATTCCAGTATGGGAATGTGATGCCTTGGAATGAAATCAACTCTAAAGTTTTTCTAAATAAATAAAATACAAAAGTAAAATCCACTTGCTTAAGTTGATTGTAAAAAGCAGTCAATAATTTTTGCTCCAGCCCCACTGCAGTTATAATACTGTATGCGCTTTTTTAATGCTCTCTTGTTCTCTTCACTTCACTGACACCCTGCAGCCTGTTGTCTTGAGTGATCTCTGTAGTACAGCGAATGGAACAGTTTGTTAGGGAAACTGCCAATGGAAAGGCCAACCTTCTCTTTTCAATAAGATTAGTAATGCTAAACTAAATCAATCAGTCATGCTGACTGACTGATTTTATAATAACTAATAGAAAACCTTGTAGCATAAACCATTTGATTTTAAGCAGCTTTGGAAGACTTCTCTATCCTCCACAAGTAACTTTACCTCCAAATCTTTCCTACTGTATACATTATTTTTCTACCTTTCTTTATATTCATCACCTTCCTATGAAGGCTCTGATCCCTTGCCTAATATACCTTGGAATTTATTTTTAACGGAGCAAAACTCACCTTTGTGCTGGCATCCAGCTAAGCTGCTTGAGACTTGTGAATTTGTTAACATGTTGTAAATATCCTGGTTGTGAGATTTCATTGTCAGCATATGTGGCCAGCTGTTGAAAGTCCCCCTACCCACCTGCTTCTATTCCCTGTTGCCCTTTCTGGTCCTGAGGTATGTCTACTGGCTTTTCACACTCAATCCTACTCATCCCAATGC